GCTTTCATCCATATGATGAATAGTGTGTTTCAGCCTTATCTCGACTCGTTTGTTATTATATTCATTGATGATATCCTGGTGTACTCTCGTAGCCAGGAGGAGCATGCCAAGCATTTGCGAATTGTGTTGCAGCGGCTGAAGGAGGAGAAGCTTTATGCTAAGTTCTCCAGTTGTGAGTTCTGGATCAGTTCAGTGGTGTTCTTGGGGCACATGGTGTCCAGTGAGGGTATTCAAGCGGATCCGAAGAACAAGAGGCGGTTCAGAGTTGGCCTAAACCGTCCTTGCTATGGAGATTCAGATCTTTTTTGGTTTGACTGGTTATTACCATCGGTTCGTGCAGGGTTTCTCATCTATTGCATCGCCCTTGACCGAATTGACCCAAAAGGGTGCTCCTTTCAGGTGGTCGGATGAGTGTGAGGAGAGCTTTCAGAAGCTCAAGGCTGCCTTGACCACAGCTCCAGTTCTAGTTCTACCATCAGCTTCTGGTTCTTATACAGTATATTGTGATGCTTCTTGGATCTAGGTGTGTTTTGATGCAGGAGGATAGAGTGATTACTTATGCTTCGCGTCAGTTGAAGCCCCATGAGAAGAACTACGATGTTCATGATTTGGAGTTGGCTGCCATTGTTCATGCGTTGAAGATTTGGAGGCACTATCTCTATGGCGTGTCTTGTGAGGTATTTACTAATCAGCATAGCCTCCAGCACTTGTTCAAATAGAAGGATCTCAATTTCAGGCAGTGCAGATAGTTGGAGCTGCAAAAGGACCAAGATATTACAATTCTGTATCATCCGGGAAAGGCCAATGTGGCCGATGCCTTGAGTAGGAAGGCAATGAGTTTTGGCGGTCTTGCATTCATTCCTATTGGGGAGAGACCTCTTGCAGTTGATGTTCAGGCTTTGGCCAATCAGTTTGTGAGATTGGATATTTCGGAGCCCAATCGGGTTCTAGCTTGTGTGGTTTCTCGGTCTTCCTTATTTGATCGCATCAGAGAGTGCCAGTATGATGATCCTCATTTGCTTGTCCTCAAGGATAAAGTTTAGCACGATGATGCCAGAGACGTGACTATTGGAGATGATGGGGTGTTGAGGATGTAGGGCTGGATATGCGTGCCCAATGTAGATGGGCTACGGGAGTTGATTCTTGAGGAGGCCCACAGCTCGCGGTATTCCATCCATCCGGGTGCCACAAAGATGTACCAGGACCTGAGGTAGCACTATTGGTGCAGGAGAATGAAGAAGGATATAGTTGGGTTTGTGGCTCGGTGTCTCAACTGTCAGCAGGTAAAGTATGAGCATCAGAGATCGGATGGATTGCTTCAGAAGATAGAGATTCCAGAGTGAAAGTGGGAGCAGATCACCATGGATTTCGTAGTTGGGCTCCACAGACTTCGAGTAAGTTCGGTGCTATTTGGGTGATTGTGGATCAGCTGACCAAATCCGCGCACTTCATTCCAGTTTTGTACTACTTATTTTCATAGCGGTTCGCTAAGATTTACACAGAGAGATTGTTCGCCTTCACGGTGTGCTAGTTTCCATCATTTCAGACAGAGACACGTAGTTTACACTGCAGTTTTGGAGAGCCGTGCAGCGAGATTTGGGCACTTAGTTGAGTTGAGCACACAATTTCACCCTCAAACGGACAGACAGTCCGATCGCACTATTCAGATATTGGGAGACATGCTACGCGCTTGTGTCATTGATTTTGGTGGTCCATGGGACCAGTTTCTGCCGCTCGCGGAGTTTGCTTACAACAGTTATTAGTCGAGTATTCAGATGGCTCCGTATGAGGCTTTATATGGGAGGCAGTGTAGATATACAGTGGTTTGGTTTGAGCCGTGCGAGGCCATGCTATTGGGTACTAACTTGGTTCAGGATGCTTTGGACAAGGTTAAATTGATTCAGGAGCGGCTTTGCACAACGCAGTCGAGACAGAAGAGTTATGCTGATAGGAAGGTCCGTGATGTGTCTTACATGGTTGGGGAGAAGGTTCTGTTGAAGGTTTCATACATGGAGGGTGCTATGAGGTTCGGGAAGAAGGGCAAATTGAGCCCTCGCTTCATAGGGCCTTTTGAGGTACTTTAGAGGATTGGGCAGGTGGCTTACAAGCTTGCCTTGCCACCTAGCTTATCGAGTGTGCATCCAGTATTTCATGTTTCCATGCTCTGGAATTATCTCGGCGATCCATCTCACGTCTTGGATTTCAGTACGATTCAATTGGATGGTTATTTGATTTATGATGTGGAGCCGGTGGCTATTTTGGAGCGGCAGGTTCGAAAGTTGAGGTCAAATGATATAGCTTCAGTGAAAGTGCAGTGGAGAGGTCGGCCTGCGGAGGAGGCTACTTGGGAGGCCGAGCGGGAGATGCAGAGCAGATATCCACACCTATTTGAGACTCAAGGTATGTTTCTAGACCCGTTCGAAGACAAACGTTTGTTTAAGAGGGGGAGGATGTAACAACCCGGCCGGTCGTTTCGAGAGTTGCAGCCACGTTTCCCCATTTCCTGCTTCTTTTGTGTTCTCCAGCTGTATTATGACTTATCGGGTTAGTTGGTTCGGGTCTGGAGTGATTTCGGAGTGAATTGAGACACTTAGTCTCTTATTTGGAAGCTTAAGTGGGAAAAGTTGACAGGATGTCGACTTATGTGTAAATGACCTCGGATTTGAATTATGATGGTTCTGTTAGCTTCGTTAGGTGATTTCGGACTTAGGAGCGCGTCTGGATTTTAATTTGGAGGTCCGTAGTAGAATTAGGCTTGAAATGCCGAAAGTAGGAATTTTGGAAAGTTTGACTGGGAGTGGACTTTTTGATATCGGGATCGGATTGGATTTCCGGAAGTTGGAGTAGGTTCGAGTTCATTTTGATTTTCTGAATGGAGTTGCTAACATCCTCAAAACATCTGGAGTTCCTCCCATTCCAGACTGACCACCAAACGCAGGCTGGGATCTTCATTTCTTCTGTCTGACTCCACCTGTCACACCAGCCCAGCATCTCAAGAGGTCGGATGTATGTTTTGGCATGACCCAGTTCATTCTGACAATACTTAGAAACATGTGCCACAGTTGAGAGGTAACAACACTGTGAAGAAACAGGTGGGAGTTGTCTTCTGCTTCCCTTCCACAGAGATAGCATCTGAAAGTCAGTTGATTTCCCCTTCTCTTAAATTTTTCATCAGTCAAGCAAGCTTTTCTGGCCACCAACCATACAAAGCATAGCACCTTTGTGGGTGCATTTACCTTCCAAATTTTTTTCCAAGGCCAACTCCTATCCGAATGAGCATTTCCCATTAGGCTTTTGTAAGCAGAACTCACCGAGAAATATCCGGTGCTTGACCCTTCCACACCAAAGAGTCCTCGCAATCTGAGAGGCCTTGCAGTTGGTCAATTTGGTTTATCAATGTAGCAACTCTGTCCACTTCCCAATCATTCAGCCGGCTTCGAAAGTTCAATTTACAGCCCTGTTGTCCCCTTATTTCATCCACCTTGGCATGAGGATTTGAAGCTAACAAATATAGATCAGGATATTGGTCTTTTAGAGGACCATGTCCTATCCAGTTGTCATCCCAAAAAGCAGCCTTCCTACCATTTCCTAGCTTGACCTCAGTGTTCTAGAAAAAAACTAGGCCACAGATTCCTAATTGCCTTCCAGTTACTAACCCCATAAGAGGAAGTAACTCTCTTGGTGCACCATTGGGAGTCTTGACCATATTTTGCTTCTATTACTTTTCTCCATAAAGCTTGCTGCTCATGGTTGTATCTCCAGAGCCACTTAAATAGTAAGGTTCTATTATGTAGTCTCAGATTTCTAATGCCCAAGCCACCATTAACTTTGCTTGAGATGACATTCTTCCACTTCACTAGGTGAAAAGCTTTTGTTTCCTTGTTACCTTGCCAGATAAAATTTCTTCTGATAGTATCCATTCTCTTTTCCACCTTAGCTGGTAAAGGGAACAGAGACATCACATATGTTGGAATAGAGTCTAACACACTGTTTACTAGCACCACTCTGCCACCAAGCGAAAGATATTGAGTTTTCACTTGGCCAATCTCTTTTCACTTCTTTCAATTACCGCATCCCATATCTCCAAAGCTTTTTTTTAGCCCCCAAAGTCATACCTAGGTAGGTAGTTGGCAGGCTGCCAATTTCACAAGCCAGAGTTCCAGCTAATATGTGCATATGAGACACCACATTAATGGGGAAGAGCTGACTTTTCGTCCAATTGACATGGAGCCCATAAGTTGCTTCAAACACAGTTAAGATCAATCTGATATGCCTCAGTTGATCAACCTCAGCGTCACACAAAATCAGAGAGTCATCTGCGTATAGCAAATGGGAAATATCCATCACACAGTCAGGTTTGTTGGATACCTTAAATCCCTTAATCCAACCATTTGCCTTTGCCCTTTTTATCATACAATTTAGACCTTCCATGACTAAGATAAACAAAAAGGGGGAGAGAGGGTCACCTTGCCTAAGGCCTCTCTGCGAGGGAAAGAAACCTTCGGGTGAGCCATTAATCAAAATAGATAACCTGACAGAGCTATAATGCAGAACAATATCCATTTCAGCCATTTGCTCCCGAATCCCATGTCCTTCATTATTTTGATTAGAAAGTTCCAATTGACATGATCAAAAGCCTTCTCTAAATCAAGTTTAGATAGGATTCCAGGTTTTTGCCCCTTTTGTCTAGAATCCACACATTCATTTGCTATTAGAGCTGCATCTACAATCTGTCTTCCTTTGATAAATGCCATTTGTTGTTCATCCACTAGCTTGTTCGTTACAGACTTGAGCCTTTCTGTTAACATCTTAGAAATAATTTTGTAAACACTCCCAATTAGGCTGATAGGTCTGAAGTCCCTCAGTTCCTTGGCTCCTTTCTTCTTTGGAATTAGTGCAATGTAAGTTGCATTTATGCTTTTTTCAAAGAATTCCTTTGAATGAAAATTCTCAATAGTTTTCATGATGTC